GGGAGACGGGCGAAGCCTCTGAAGGGCCCTGGACGAAGCACTCGGGTCACGGTCAACATGCCAACCCGCTGGGACTAGTACACGCATGCTTGGGCCGCAAGTCCTTGTTCTGCTGCTTGCGCAAATAGGGGTCAACTCGGGCATGGCAGCCTCTATGAGACGCTCACCAGACCGTCTATAAACATTTCTGGTTGGGGACTCGGATTGAATCTGGCTGTGATCGTCGTCCTGACTGCGACGTTAAATAATTCCTGAAGAGATGGGGGCGCTCTTAATAATCCTCCTGATCAGCCAGATCAACCGGGTGTAAGGCTCGTCGGCGTACGAGGGTTAATAAGAGTGCTGTGGCTGCCTTGCTCGACGATGACTTGAGGCACAGGGGTGGGACGGGATTGCACACCTTTAGACACGCTGCTCAACCAGATGCTTAGGGACGTTGACACAAAGTGATTACTCAAGAAGGATAAAGGGGGAGGGGGGATTCCGGTAACTGTTCGCAGTGGCAAGCAACAAACAATCTGCCATCAAGCATACATCTCCAACAGGAGATGTTATTTTCTGTTTTGATTATCTAGTTGTTACGGACTTGCTGACAACTAACAGACAGCTACAGATAGACTAGATCTTTGCTGTATTGCAATCTGTTCCAGGGTAATCTAAAAATAGATGTAGTATATCATGTAGGACCTGACATTAGTTGTAACTACACCTAACTATTTCTGTCCCAGCCGACCGTAAGTAGCTGTGTATCATATGCGGATGTGTGTCAAGCTAAGGTAGGATTCAGTGTGGATTCTAGTTTAGATCACACACACTGTAGCTCATGAGTGATGCAAGCACAAGTGAGGAGGAGTTACTAGTGGACGACCGGAGGACTACTCGCAGGACTGCCCGCAGTCGACCCTTGACATTCTTGGAGTTAGGTCCAGGAGACGAGAGAAGATTGAGGAGAGAGGCTAGAAAGAGGGCAGCGGCAAGGAGAGCGAGTGCAGCTGAGAACAGTGCTAGAGCTAGAATTACAGCTAGCATCAGTACAGCCATGGCTACTTCATCTATGACGCAACCCTCTACACAGCCCACTTCGTCAGGAGTCAGTCAGAGTGGTACTCAGGCGGCCACTAGTCAGATTGGTCATGTGCGAGTCAGCCAATCTCCTATCACGTCGGAGGACTTGGAAATCCGGCAAGCAGAAGAACTTCAAGATGAGCTACAGCGGCAAATGGATGTAGTAGAGAGGAGAAGGAAAGCTATGCAAAGAGAAGCTAGACTAGAGAGTAGATTGCAGGAGTTAGGCAGACTGTAAAGACTAGATGAGGCAACATTAGACCCTGCTGTTCGTGTGCTGCGAGGCGCCTTACTTTCAGTGGCGGAAGCGCAAAGCGTTCAACAGGAATTGTTGGCTGATTTGGTAGCAGGCCAGAAACAAATTCTGGCTGAACTAAGGGGCATTCGCCCAACGGCGAGGCCGCCACAGTTTGTTGTAGTTCCCCCTGTAGGTGCGGGTCCATCATCGATGCCGCAACGCACAGGGCAAACTTTCTCTCCCTTGTTTGTCACGCCCTCCCCGGGTGGTTTAGGTGCAACTAGTGGTCCGGTTCATTCAGTCTCAGTCGTACCGTGTACAACAGTGGTCACTACAGTCCCACTGTCCAGCCAGGCCCAGGTTAGTATGCGACAGCCTGTTTCAATGGCTATGCAGCCGCTGCATTAAGCACCTGGGCCCATGCAGCCGATGCAGTGGATGCCCAAGATACCTCTRATGAGTCCCAAGCCTTTCTCTGGAGACAAGAAGAGGGAGGAAGACTTGGACACCTGGGTGAGGACTGTGCCTACTTATGTGAGGCACAAGCTCACAAGGCCAGAACAGGAAGTAGTAGTGGCTGCCTCCTTTTTAGAAGGATCAGCAGCCCGCTGGTTGAATGGCTTGGTGCAGCAACAGGGCTACGGTCAGGATTTCGATGCCTGGGCTCAGTCTCAGACATTGGAACAGTTCGTACGGTCCGTCTACAACAGGTGGAATGACCCGCAAGGGGCTCAAAAGGCCACCGATGCTATCGACAACCTTTGTTCCCGTAGGTTCAAGGATGTTAGAGAGCTTACATACACCGTAGAACGCCTTCTCGTGGTACTTGGTGTGCGTTTTGACCCGCAGGTTCTCCTAACGGATTACCTAAGGTGCCTACCTACAGAGGTAAGGACCAAGCTGGTTGATGAGGCCTATCGACCAGCACACTTTTGCTTCTTTTAGTAAGAAAGCACTGGACATAGAGGCAAAGCTAGGATCTGCGCATAAGGCATCCAATGATGGTAGGAAGAGACTGCCCCAAGATTGGAAGAAAAAGGGTCAGTTAATGTTCGTTGACCACGATGGTCAAACGACGGAGATTGATGACTACTCAGATCTTGGGGAGTTCACAGAGCACGATGGGGGTGGCGAGACTTCAGATGGTGGAGTCGTGGCACCCATCAAAGAAAAGGCTAGGGGGACCGGGAAGAAGAAGGTAGTACGGTCCACGGGTCAGGGCGACCAAGGAACACCCGCATGGGTGAAGATTGGTTTAGAATACGAGGTGTGGCGTGACCGCGTTGCTAGGGGTACATGCATGAACTGTGGCAACTTTGGCCACACGTCCAGGACTTGCCGCGGCAAGAAAGTCACAACGAAGGTAGCCTCACCAACGGTGGTGGGCTTACCTTCAAACTCTGGAAGTGCTTCTGCGAGCAGCTCACAGGGAAACACCTCGGGCCAGTAGGAGTGTTAGCCGCTCTTACTCGCGCTGAAGTGGTAACATTGCCTTCCCCACTTCAGGCGTTGGCCAAGGCTAGTGACCCACGTATCGCCCCGCAGACACATACAGACTCACCGACGCTCTGTTCGAAAGATGTGTCTGAGGCCCTAGAAGAGTTAGAGACTGAGTGGTCAGGGAAGGACCCCAGGGATTCTTGGGCGATGATGAGTGGAGGTCCAAAGGGTGAACATTTCGTGGTAGAAGTAGATGTAGGTGGCCGCAAGATTGACGCCTTCGCAGACACAGGCTCTACACGAAATTTCATCAGTCGGGCTTGTGTGGATAGATTGTGCTTAGGGGACCAAGTGCAGGGGCTTAGCAGAACTGTAGCTTCTACGCTAGCCAACAAGCACAAGATGGTAGTAAAAGACTATGTCAAGGACGTAGCCTGTTCCTTCTCCTATGGAGGAGGGGAAGTGATCCACAAGATCTCCTTCCTGGTTAGCAACGAAGTTCCTTTTGATATGCTCCTAGTTATGTACTACCTCGAGGCTGCGAAACCACAGTTGGACTGGGATAGAAAGGTATTGATTCACAAGTTGCCCAACGGTAGATCTGTTAGATTGCAGAAGTTCAAAGCTAGAAGTCTAATAGAAAACTACGGGTGCATGTGTGCATCATCTGTCTATAACTATTATAAACAGAATCGCGAGGAAGGCATGTATCTAGTTTTTGTCTCTGAGAAAGGGGAGGCCGTAAAATCACCCCCAGAGATAGAAAAAGTCGTCGCTCAATATTCAGACCTTTTTTAGGAGCCCACAGGCGTGGTGGAAAGGGAGTTGGTCCATGCAATAGAGGTTGTCCCAGGTAGTAAGGTGCCTAGAGGACGAATCTATAGGATGTCTCCTGCGGAGTTAGATGAGCTTCGCCGCCAGCTTGAAGAGCTCACAGAGAAGGGATGGATACGGCCTAGTACCTCCCCTTACGGTGCGCCAGTCTTATTTGTTCCTAAGAAGGGAGGTCCATAAAGGATGTGCATTGACTATAGGGGCCTCAATGCCATCACCGTAAAGAACGCGGAGCCCCTACCTCGCATTGACGACCTCTTGGATAGAGTGCAGGGATGTCGGTACTTCACAAAGATAGATTTGAAGTCCGGATACCATCAAATTGTCGTTAAGCCTGAGGACCAACACAAAACCGCATTTCAGACTAGATACGATATGTACGAGTTTGTGGTGATTCCTTTTGGCCTATGCAATGTGCCTGGTACGTTCCAGCACGCGATGAGTAGGATCTTTCATGACTACTTGGACAAGTTTATCGTCGTGTACCTCAACGATATTCTCATCTTCAGTAGGATTGTAGAGGAGCACGCTGAGCACTTGAAAATAGTGCTAGGTCTCCTAAGACAGCACCAGTACAAGGTAAACTTGGATAAATGCGAGTTTGGTCGCACCAAGATCTTGTACTTGGGTCATGAAATTTCAGCAGATGGATCGAGGCCGGAAGATGCGAAAGTGGCCAGCATACGTGACTGGCCCAGACCTCAAACTGTTACTGAGGTCAGATCGTTTTTGGGGATGACGGGCTACTATCGTCCGTTTGTGAAAAACTATAGTACTATAGCTTCCCCATTGACAGATCTTACTCGACTTGACACCCCTTGGGAGTGGACTGAAGAGTGTGAGGCAAGCTTCAAGCAATTGAAGTATGCTCTAACACACTATGAAGTTCTCAAACTTCCCGATCCAGAGAAGCCGTTTGTTGTGACAACAGACGCCAGCCAATATGGCATTGGCGCTGTCCTTGCACAACAGGAGGGGCCAAAGTTGAAACCGATCGAGTATATGAGTAAGAAGATGCCTTCCAAGAAGCTAGCTGCGTCCACTTATGAAAGAGAGCTCTACGCCCTATATAGAGCGCTAGTTCATTGGCGACATTACCTCCTAGGGAGATTTTTCTATGTGAGGTCTGACCATGAGACTCTGCGCTGGATTAAGACGCAGCCCGTGTTGTCTGACGCACTCAAGAGATGGATTCAAGTGATAGATATGTATGACTATCAACTTGATCCTATCAAAGGTCCGTACAACAAAGTGGCAGATGCGCTGTCAAGAAGGGCAGACTATATAGGCGCACTAGTAACTGAATTCGACATATCTAATGATCTTACTCGATCACTGGTGGAAGCCTATCAGGGAGATACAGTTATGTCAGAGATCATTCGTAAATTCCAAGCAAAGGACAAGAAGACTTTGGACAAATTTACCATGGTAGATGGCTTGCTGTTCCGTGAAAAGTCAGGGTTTAAAAGACTGTGTCCCGAATAGTGAGTCTTTGCGCAGTTTATTTTTAGGAGAATGTCATGATGCTGTAGGTCATTTTGGTTATAAGAAGACATCAACAAACTTAGTACAGAAGTTTTGGTGGCCTTCTATGATGAAGGATGCAAAACTGTATGTCGAGACTTGTCAGGTTTGTCAAAGAGACAAACCCAGGACTCGGGCTCCGCTTGGGCTGATCAAGCCCTTGCCGATCCCTGAAGGTCCAGGTCAAAGTGTCTCCATGGATTTTATGGACACTCTTGTGACCAGCAAAACCGGCAAACGATCGCTTTACTAAGTATGACAGACTTATCGCTATGCCGGAGACAGCAAAGACAGATCACGTCATCAAATTGTTTATGGATAACTGGGTAAGGGATTTCAGTCTACCTACGTCTATCGTAAGCGACAGGGATGTAAGATTTACCAGCGAACTGTGGCAGTCTACAGCTGAACAGATGGGAACCAAACTCCAGATGACATCAGGGAATCATCCTGAGTCAAATGGACAGGCAGAACAGATGAACCGAGTGGTACAGCATTTGTTGCGGCACTACATCAAGCCAAGTCAGGATGACTGGGACGAGAAGTTACCTCTCGTCGCCAGCCTGTATAATAATGCAGTGCACAATGCTACCGGAATGACTCCCAACCAACTGCATCTTGGTTGGAAGCCTAGAACTGCCTTGGACTTCTTACTACCGGAAAGAGAATCCACTGCAGCACCTGCTGTTAAGTATGAACAGATGCTGCAGCAAGCCGTAGAGCACATTAGAAAAACTCGAGATGCAATGATAGCATCTGAGAATAAGCATAGACGGCCTTCTAATTTCCAGGTAGGTGACAGAGTTTGGGTAAAAGCATCTGAACTTGGTCAGGAGCTAGGAATCTCTAGAAAATTGATGCCACAATTCTTCGGTCCGTGGGAGGTCCTAGATGTGATAGGAGATCAACCGGATGGGCCATCCTATGTGATTCGCATCCCACCCCATCTACGCACCTACCCTGTATTCCATGCTTCAAAGTTGGCACCTTTCGCTGCTACTGAGCAGTTTCCTTCCAGGAGATCAATGCTGCCCCCAACCATGGATGGCGAAGTGGACATCGACCAGATTGTCAAGCATCGAGTGATGCCTGTTCCACGACCATCAGGCAGAGGGCGCCCTCCTAAATCGAGAATGCAGTACCGGGTGAGCTTTAGACATCACCTCGATCCCAAGGAAGATCGCTGGTTTACACGGGAAGAACTCATGAGAACAGCGCCTCAAGTGATTGCAGGCTATGAAAGAGAACGAAAAGGGAAGATGCCTGCAGAATAAGAGACTTCTCAGAGGACTCACGAAGTTAAGGAGGAGGGAATGCGAGGATCAGTGTCCTCGGTAGGCCTACTGGGCCCTGTCTGCAGCCTTACCCGCCCTAAGTGAAGGTGGGCCTGGCTTTTTGCAAGAGGCCCTCGACTGTCAATTTCATATTTGGGGTCCAGGCAGTTGCGACGCGCCAGTTGGTTGAAAGAAACACAGGCCGAGTACCGAAGACATTTCCACGGCCTACCGGGCCTTTCCAAAGAATGCAGGCCCTGGGCGTGATTCGCAGCCTCATACAGAGACAGTTGGGCGCCCA